TTGGGGGTGCCTCTCTTTTATAGCCAACTCAATCCTAGTCCCAATAAAAGCCTAGCTTCAATGGACTTCTGCTCAGTGCTTATCTTGGACTCTCCAATAGATAAAGATAAACTCCCTAAGAGCTTTATCCTTATCCAGGCTGAAGTCTTTCCTCATTCTAGGACTCTTGTACCTTATCCGCTTATCCTGAACTCCGATATCTTCGGAGATAACCTCGGCCTAGCCGAGATCACCTCGGCGTCATGACCATGACACGTGGCACCCCGGCTGACACGTCGGCGTGACCTTGGCCACGTGTTCGTACTCAGAAAATATTTCCCCACAATTACAATTTGATATGTGTTTGTGCTTTTTTCTTTTTCTTTTTTTTCCTATTCAAAAACAAAACACTCTGATCTAAAGTAAAAATAAATCAATACAAAACAGTTTTGGGAGTTCTCCTTGAAGAAGTTAAATTGTAAGAGCCTTTGGTTGTCTCTAAATTGAAATTCTACTGTCATATTCTCCATGAGATCTAATTCACATCAATTATCTTTCTATAGCAACCGACTGGGCCTGATTGTTTTTCTAACAACTATTTATTTATTTCAAAGTTTCGATATAAACAATTTAGAGTCTTCTAATTTTTTTAAGGAAATGCCGACCTAATGGCATACAAATTCTAACTACAACAAACACATCAGACCAAACCAAAATTTCCATTATTGGACACCCAAGAAACCAATAAACAATTAGAATTGATGAGAAAGTTTCCTGAAGTTTACTTTCATAAACTACACGCTTTTTCTAAATTGGATTTAATGCTGTAGAGGGTCAGAAATTAAACCCCAAACTAAATATGGGCCTAAGCACTGAGGTCGCCCCAAAAAAGTGACCAGGAATGAAAAAGGAGCATGGACTAAAGCCCAAGGGAAATGGGCCAATAGTGGGCCAAAGGTCCGACCCACTAGGGCTCCAAATGGACTCCACGAAGAAAAATGCCCAAGTCAAGTTGCAAAGGCAACATGTGCAGCGGTGAAGTTACAGAGGGAACATGTGCAGCGGTGAAGTTACAGAGGGAACATGTGCAACGGTAAAGTTGTTGAGGCACTTTGCCTCAGCGCCGCCATTCCGAATATCATCGGTTCTGCCTCCATCTGAAGTTGTTGAGGAAAAGAAAAGGCTAACGCAACTAAGTTACAGAGGTAACGCTTGCAGCGACCAAGTTGCAGAGGCATTCTGTCGGCGCTGCCATCTCTAATATTCTCGGTTCTGCAGCCTGAACTTGTCGCAGGAAATGATTATCGCAGCAACTACGACCGGAGCAACTAAGTTGCCGAGGGAATATCCTACCAAGGTGATAGCAGCCTTTGAGAGAGGCTTCCCTCTGCAAGTAGAGGCTAATACTTGGCACTGATAGCAAACTCTAAGGCATTACTAGCATAGGGCTGATAACAGGCCCCCAAAATTCATATAACTTGGTGTTGATAGCAGGCCCCAAGACTTACTGGTTGGAGGTGATAGCCGGTCCAGAGATACCAGTTTACCGCGGTGGTCCCGCGAAGATGGGAGCAGGGTAGCCCAAACATAAGGGACTTCATTCCCATTACCCAGGTCATGGACTTGCCTTAGTCGCACAGGCAGGACTAAGGAAGCCCCCTTGGGCTTGGTACTAAGGCGTAGCATGGCTGATAACAGGCTTGGCTGTGGCCTTCGCCCTGGGAAGCTAGGGAGTTTGTGGTTAGGTGGCTAAGGGTGGAGGCTTCGCTGAGATGAGCATGAACATAGTCGATAGCAAACTAATGGAGTCCTGAGAATGCATGTACTGGCTAAGTAGAACTGAGAAGGCAAATGTAGCAGCAAGGTTTACTACTGCAAGTGCACTTGTTGAGGTTCGAGCTGAGAAGGCAAGTGCAGCGGCAAACACTTCTACCGCAATTGCACTTGCTGAGGCTCAAAAAAGGAGTTGCAGTGCCAAACACTCCCGTCACAACTACACTTGCAGAGGCTCAAAAAAGGTAGTTGCAGAGGCAAACAGATAGTACATAATACATGCAGAGGGACACGTGGTACCTTCAGCCTGGTGGCTCAAGGCAGAATATTTCATGTGGTCCTCTAGGACACATGTTTTCTCTTTATTTAGCCACTTGGTGTCCTCTTAGTACCAAGGAAAAACCTATAAATAGGACCCATTTCCCCAAGGTTCAAGAATTTTTTTTTTGAAAATTTAGGAGAGATGCTGCCCATTTTGGCACTGCTATTGTCTTCTTCTTGAGCTACTTGCTTCACCCTCACACACTCTCTAACTCCCAGATAGTTACTGCTACTCATTCTCTAGCCACTCCCACTATTATTGGACCATTAACATAGTTTTGTCTCTCTAGTCATCTCTCTAATCTTGAACCCCCTTACAACGGGTAGTTTCTAACAAGTGAACTTATTGTCTAATAAGTTTTATGAAAAAAAATTGTCATAAAAAAAGTCACTATTGTAAATTTTAACGACAATTTACAAAAATCATGACAAAAAAAAAATTACTAATTATCAATTATATATAAAAAATTGTCACAAAAAAATTTATTTTTAGTTACAATTTTACCAAGACCTAATTTCAATAGGACTTGATGAAAATTAAGTCCAACTATTAGGACCCATTGATAACTTATCCCAAAAGAAAAAAAAAAAAGAAAAAAAAAGAAGCACCTTTTTTTTAAATAAAAAAATGGTATGCATTGTTTCCATCAAATGCCATTTCTCCGATGGCAGAATGTTATTTTGTTCGAATCGGAGGGAGCCAAAAAAAAAAAAAAAAAAAAAAGGTTCCAAAAAAAAAAAAAAGAAAAAAAAAAAGGTTCCTTTTGTTCTTTTTTTTCCCCACTTTTATCAAACTTTTACAATTTAGGTTTGATCGACTCACTGTTTTGTTTTCAAATTCAACCCCAAATTTATTATTAGTTTATGCTGAGAGATTCGAAGAGGGTTCTGTTCTGTGTAGAAAACTGAACTAAACATACAATTACAGCTCAGTCATTGCTCTATCTTTCGCTACTGAGATTAGGGTTCTTCTTCTCTACTGTTGTTACTGCTTTATCGATTACTGTTGTTGTTGTAATTTATATAATGGAGGAGACTATTCAAGCTCAAGAACATGATGATTCGCCTCAACATTATCATCATCAGGTGATCTTTTCATATTTTCCACTCTTTCTATTTCTGTGTATATATATATATATTATATAGAAGATATATATTGAAAATTAATTCCATTTATGTTGTTGTTGTAAGTAAACAAGATGATTCAGGTGATCTTTTCATATATATATACAGGGCACACCCTATGTGAAATTTAAAATAATTATGGCAATTATGTGAAGCAGTTAAAATTTGGGGTATTTTTTTGTGGGTTATAATAGTATAAATATGTGAAATTTAAAATGATTATGTGGTAATTATTTGAAACAGTTAAGATATCATAATCATATGAACAATGGGTATTTTTGGTATATAAAAGTCCCGATAAAGCTTGTTCTGAGTTTCGTGCTTTTATTTTTATTTTTGTAATTGTATAAATGTTGAAAATTAATTCCATTTATGTTGTTGGTTGCAAGTGAAATTGACTTGAAGCAAAAATTTGTAGGACCCACCAAGTCTATGAAACATCCATTGACTTTATTATTGCTGCAAAATTTGACTTTCTGAAAAATTGTTTGGAGGGTTATTTGTTTTGTATTGAATTATCAAGAGAAATGCTGCCTATTGTCTATTTTTTCTCCTTGGCTTGGAGGGAAATTGTTTGTGTTTTGCACGATTCTTCAGCTACATTGGCGAATCTAACTTTTAGAAATCGGAGTAATTTTGTAATGTTTATTGTTCGCCTCTGAAAGTTATGATCACATTCATGCTTGCGGGGTTTTAATTTATGTATAAAAAAATAAAAATAATAACACATCAATGTTCTCTCATGTTCATATGTTAGTTTTTGTAATGCTAAGACCTATTTGTCTATTTGGCATGGTGGAAAATTGTTTGTTTTACATGATTCTTCAGCTTCATTGACAAATCAAATTTTTAGAAATCAGAGTAATTTTGTAACGTTTATTGTTCACCTCTGAAAGTTTTGATCATATTCATACTTGCAAGTTTTTAATTTCTGTAAGCAACTTTTGAAAATATATTATATATATATATATATTGTTCTCTAATATTCATTTGTTTGTCCATGCATCATCAATGGGCGGAGTTATATTTCACATATAAAACAAATGTGGGTTTTGGATTTTAATGGGTCGTAAGCATGTAATAATCAGAAAGAAGAGTGTGAAGAAGAAGAATCATCTTTAGTGCAGCAACAATCGAGAAGGCCGAGCCTCTCCTCTCTGCAAATACCTACAAGGTCCATGGAAAGCACATTGTCCAATTTCACAAGCATTGATACTCCTCAGGTGCCAAGTCCTAGTTCTACCAGATCAGGACTTCCCCCTAGGCCGAGTTCAGTCAAGTTCAAATCGTCCATGAGAAATCTACTTCCTCAGAGAAGCTTCAGGGGTAAAAACTTGTCTCAGGATGGTGAGAAGACAGTTCTCATCATCCCAGAAACACCTCCATCGGATAGGCCCTCTACTTCATTCTCAAGGACATTTTCTCTCAACAAGGTCTTTTTCTCTTCATCAACCAAATCACCCCATTCTTTACCAGTGACACCAGTTTCAAATTCGTCTATCAAGTCTGCAAATGAAAGGAATCTGGATGACCATTCTGAATTCTCTGTAAGTACCTTTTGTTCGTTCATTCCCTGCTCTCTCTATATTTCATTATTCTTGTGGGATTGTGTTTTTTTATGCAATTTATTAGGTTAATTGGTCCAAACATAATGCTAGGATCTTTGAGGATTTATTGAGGAGGGCTCTTTATCGGATGAAGTCTGTTACTTGACATCTTTTTGGGTTTCTGTTTCCACTCCCTTTATAGGAATTCCACTTATTTATTGCTTTGTTTATTTTTAATTTTTTTATCTCAAGAGATTGAGGGCAGTGTGAGATTTTGGTTGTCCTTTTGCTTTTTTCTTTTTTTCTTTTTCTTTTTCTTTGGAGGACTCCTTGTTCTCCCATTTCTATTGTACTTTTCTTATTTTCTAATAAATTTCTTTTGTTGCCGATCAAAAAATAAAATAAAAGTAAAATTTGTTGTTGTACAGAAACCAGAAAGTCAACATCATATGAGGCGTTCATTTTCAGTTCCAGTAAATATCAAAGCCAGAAGCTTGAGGCGGACGGATTCTACTGGTGGTTTGATCCGTGTAATATCAGTGACACCTCGTCCTGTAACAGTTGTTGGTGCCTCTCCAAGTGAATCCAGAGAAACGGAAATCGGTATACATGTGTTTCCTTGTTTATAAAATTTGAAATCCAAGAAATATGATTTCTACCTTTATTGATGAATGTCATTTGAGAAATTCCCTTGTATTTGTGACAAGTTTCTTGAGCTTAAATTAATGGCATAAAAGCCCTTATTAGTTAGCCAAATTGTTTTGTTGTCCTTTCCTAAATATTTTTCACTTTTTAATACTTATTCGTTATCTTGTCAATTACTGGTTTCATTACAGCCAGTGATCGTGCTGGGGAAGATATTCCCGAAGAGGAAGCTGTTTGTAGAATTTGTTTGGTTGAACTTGGTGAAGGTGGTGAAGTTCTAAAGATGGAGTGCAGCTGCAAAGGAGAGCTTGCACTTGCTCACCAAGAGTGCCACTACCACCTCCACTTCACCTACTCCTTACCTACTACACACTCACCCTCTTCTATATATAGGAATCATGAATCATTGTAATAGATATCAAAAAAATATCAATCAATAATATACATCAATTTTACATGGTATCAGAGCAGGTTTAGAACCTAATATTTTCGCTTCCCCGGCGGGCGGCAACCTCACCTTAGCTGGCCGCCGGACCTCAACCTAGTCTGCTAAAATTTTCTACACATACCTTAAAATTTCCTTTCTTCAACCTGCTGAGTGCACAAAACACATAGACACATACAATCCTCTCTCTCTCTCTCTCTCTATCATCTTTCTCTGTGTGCTTACTTACCCAGCGATCTTTTTTGCCTTTTGTGATTTTCCAATCAAAAACAGACCAAGAAAATGCTAGCAGTGTTCCACAAATCGATTGCTAAGAGCCCCGAGGCTCTGCAGAGTCCTCACTCTGAGGCAGTCAGTTCTCTGAAAGATGGGTTTCTGGCTCGACACTTCTCGTCCGTATACCCTGGGTTCAGTCACCATCAACCTCGGTGCTTTTGGCCTCATGGCCTATTCCATGGACAAGCAAAATCCTCTTCTTCCAAGATTGTTTTCTGTTACGGACAACATATTCTGCATGTTTCAAGGCCACATTGAGAATGTTGCTCCTCTTAAGCAGCAGTATGGATTAAACAAGACTGCAAATGAAGTCATCATTGTGATGGAAGCTTACAGGACTTTGAGAGATAGAGGTCCATATCCTGCAGATCAAGTTTTGAGGGATCTGCATGGGAAGTTTGCATTTATTCTCTATGATAGCTCTTCAAAAACTACTTTTGTAGCTGCTGATGCCGATGGGAGTGTTCCGTTCTTCTGGGGAGCTGATGTTGAAGGGAATATTGTGCTTTCAGATGATGTAGAGATTGTGAAGAAGGGCTGCTGCAAATCCTTTGCACCATTTCCAAAAGGCTGCTTCTTTACAACCTCTGGGGGCCTGAGGAGTTTCGAGCACCCCCATTCCTTTTTATTATTAGAGACCTGACTTGCACCTCCTCGGCCAACCCATTTCCCTTTTCTTCTTATTATTATATACACCTTTTCTATTCTCCATTATGCTCCACTCACCATTTCCCTTTTCTTCTTATTATTATATACACCTTTTCTATTCTCCATTATGCTCCACTCACCACTATCATCACATTTTCCCACTTTTTCAAACCCACTTTAATCATATCCCTCCTTTCCCTTACTTTCTTCCACCCACGATTTCACCATTTTCTTTTCTTTTAATATATATATATATATTTTTTATTATATATAAAAAAAAAAAAAAAAAAACATCATCATCTCTCCTCCGTTTGATTTCAACCATTTCCTTTTTTTTATTTTTTATTCTTCAACTCCCGTGGCATGTCTCTTCTTGATTTTTATTTTCTTTTATCATCATCACATTACCCTCATCATTTCTCCCACATTTCTTTTAATATTTCCCATCATTTCTTTTAAACTTTTCTTCTGCCAACATGTTCCCCATTGATTTTATAATTTCATTTATTTTATCACATATCTATTTAAAAAAAAAAAAAAAAAACAAATCATAAACCAAAACACACCACACATCGTTTTATTCATGACAGGGAATTAACCCCCATCACATTTCTACACAAAAAAAAAAACAAAAAAACAAACAAACAACAACACAAGCTTTGTTTTCTTTTCTGCAGCGGCCATACATCGACCTCCCTTCTTCTCTACTCTGCCGCCGGTCTTTTCTTTTTGCCTCCGTCCTGGGCAGCCCTTGACGGTGCTGCCTCCGTGTTTCCCACTCCACCGAGCACATTCACTCCCACCTGCTCCTCCACTGCAGCATATGGCGACCCTCCAAATCGGAACATCACGGTGGCCTTCCGCTTCAGCTCCTTGTTTTCTGTCTTTAGCACACTTATCTCTGCTCGCGCATCCTTATACATGCGTTGGAGCAGAGCCAGCTGGGAGTTTAACTGTTGCACCTCATTTGTCCTGCTCTGCAGCCGGTGCGACAAATTTGTGACCGCAGTCATGGTTTCCACGCATGACTTCAGAGTATACTGATTGGCCTCAATATCAGTTTGCACCGCCATTTTTTGCTCCACCGACCGCATCGAAAAGTTCAACGGAGCAAAACCAGAGGTGTTTGGTTGAGGTTCACTGGCCACCGCACCAGTTACTTCTCTTGTGGGCTCGTTCAGTTCTGGAAAGAGCGTGAGCAGACCACGGGAAGAGGAGGCCATGTTCTGGGTAGCTGGACGGGAAGAAGAGGCCATGTTGCTGAGTGTTTCAGAGACGGGTTGGTAACAGAGTGTTACAGAGTGTCTCTCTCAGGAATCTCTCTCAGAAAACAGAGTATTACAGAGTATCTCTCTCAGAAATCTCTCTCAGAAAACGAAGAGTTTTTCAGAGTTTTTCTAGCAGGTTTTTTGTCTCTGCTTCCAAGCCTCAGCCTCAGTTTATAAAGACCCTGACGAAGAGGCAGACACGCGTATCGCGCGCCACTTGACGCCAAACGACAAACGGGCGCGCCAGCCAAGGCACTCACGTGCCTCGCCATCATGTCCGGCACACCTTTTGATAAATTGGGCACGCCTTTTGATGGCACACCTTTTGAAAGATTGGGCACACCTTTTGAGAGTGCGACTTTTTAAGGGTCCGACAAGACTCTATAAACTGTCCCGACATTTGATACCGGTTAGCTTTTTCAAGGGTCCGACAAGACTCTGTAAACTGTCCCGACATCTGTCACAACACCTTTTGAGGGTGCGACTTTTTAAGGGTCCGACAAGACTCTATAAACTGTCCCGACATTTGATTCCGGTTAGCTTTTCCAACGGTCCGACATGACCCTATAAACTGTCCCGACATTTGATTCCGGTTAGCTTTTCCAACGGTCCGACATGACCCTATAAACTGTCCCGACATTTGATTCCGGTTAGCTTTTCCAACGGTCCGACATGACCCTATAAACTGTCCCGACATTTGATTCCGGTTAGCTTTTCCAACGGTCCGACATGACCCTATAAACTGTCCCGACATTTGATTCCGGTTAGCTTTTCCAACGGTCCGACATGACCCTATAAACTGTCCCGACATTTGATTCCGGTTAGCTTTTCCAACGGTCCGACATGACCCTATAAACTGTCCCGACATTTGATTCCGGTTAGCTTTTCCAACGGTCCGACATGACCCTATAAACTGTCCCGACATTTGATTCCGGTTAGCTTTTCCAACGGTCCGACATGACCCTATAAACTGTCCCGACATTTGATTCCGGTTAGCTTTTCCAACGGTCCGACATGACCCTATAAACTGTCCCGACATTTGATTCCGGTTAGCTTTTCCAACGGTCCGACATGACCCTATAAACTGTCCCGACATTTGATTCCGGTTAGCTTTTCCAACGGTCCGACATGACCCTATAAACTGTCCCGACATTTGATTCCGGTTAGCTTTTTCAACGGTCCGACATGACCCTATAAACTGTCCCGACATTTGATTCCGGTTAGCTTTTTCAACGGTCCGACATGACCCTATAAACTGTCCCGACATTTGATTCCGGTTAGC